TATAAGATACAAGTCAAAACAATTTTAACATTTACTGTTTTTAGATTAATCATTATAAGGTCTAGAACATAGTTATTTTCCCCATAAATAAATGTCACTTCCCACTCTGATACATTGACCTGGCAATTAAAACCCCCTTTTCCTATATTTCTTGGCTGCACTAAAACTATAAAAACAATAAACTATGACTTATTTTTATTTTCATAATGGTGTTATCATGGAATTCTCGTTTGTATAATATGTTAAAGTCCTAGCATGAAAAGTACCATTAAGAACAAGTTTGAGTTTTTTCTTTACAAGTAACGTGTTGCAATACAAGTCTAATAACAATCACAAGCTAACCTATCACATGAGTAACTGAAAGATGTTTAAATGTATCCGATATCATCACAACACAAACATAACATTCAATACAACATTAATTTGTTCTTTGTAGTGTTTGCAGAATTATTAATAAAATACAACACTAAACAAAAGTACACAACAATAACAATTTCAACCAAAAACACACTAGTAAAGTGATTTAACAACACAAGTAAATTGTTTTGGATAGGCGATAAGGCATTGTATGTATGTGTATACGTGAGCGTGAGACAGACAGGACTAGACAGGATCCCTTACCAGCTCATTATCATTTACTGTTGCAGCTGCTTGTTGCCTACGATTTCAGTCGACAACGCTCGCCCGCTCCCAATAAATGTAATTTTTGTTAACATCAGACGACCCTAGTTGTTGTATAATGTCTATATAGATTTTTATTTAATCGTACTGGCACTGTATGATTTTGACTCTAACGACTAAATTGAAGATCCTAATTTTGACGTGTAACTTAATTACTATTTTACAAAACCTTTTAATTGAATGGTTATAATATAATACTTCTATCCCTTAAAATAATGATTGGCATATACTTAAAAGGTAAAAGAATAACATCTAATAAAACATTAACAGAGCAATGTTTTTATTTTTCAAAAGTACAAGAACTCCATTTAATATCCATTTAACCCAACACAATTGTACGAGTTACGTTCTACGTTAGTACAAGAGTTTTTGTATTATTTATTGTATCTTTTGCCCCAAGCGAAGGGCCCCCCTTCAACTCGATCGCCGCGGCCGTACGTTTGTGTGAACGGCTTCATTGAAACTCAAACTGGTTCGTCACAGCCTAGCGGCTATGCTCGTGTAAACTAGGCCTAAGCGCAAGACCCAGTGCAACCCTAAAGGAAAAGTCCCTTAGAGTCAAGTATGTTGGTCCTAATATACCTTAAAATTCACATAACAATAACCTTAAATATAGGATAACGACAATAAAGCTGTTAAAAAAGAAGGCCATTTGGAAAGTGTCTGATTAATTTTTGAAGACATTAATAAAAAGTACTGTGCAATAGGGGCCCCGGGCGCTCGCCCCGTCCGCCCCTAGGTAAGTTCAGCCCTGATCTCCAGCTCCTCCTCCATCTGCTGCTACAACACTTCCTAAGTAGACAAAAGTCTCTACTTGACTGTAAGTTAACTTATCGATTATTTCATTTGGTTAGTTTTAAGGGTTATATCGAATGAAATAATCGATATATCGACTGATATATTCTTTCGATTGTTTTTGGCCCCACTTATGGAAACATAATGAAAGCTCACTATTGAAATACCATTGAAAAAATAACCCAGGTATGACTTTTTTGCGCGCGCTTATTAGTTCTTAGTAAAACTAATCTTGGTTTAGTTGCACACTACATAGCCAGTGTACACATACCTAGCTCAGTATCAAATTTAGTTTATATAGTTTAACTAGCTTCTCTAGTTTGTTTGAAATGGAAAAAATTCCAATCACATATATTATTTACAGTGTGTGTTAAATAGAGAAGTCTGTACATTGCATATTGTTTGGTCGAGTTTTCAACCACTGGACCTCAACTTCATTGTACACTTCATTGTTCATTGGGAAATCCATTGTAAACTAAAAGAAATGCACACTAATCAATGCAAATACTTTAAGGTTACCGGTATGTGAAAAAATATCTAAAGGAATCAGCAAAAATAGTAATACATAAATGCTAGGCTGCGGTCTATTGCAATTCATTAAGGATATACTGCTTGTATATTTAATAATATAATATAAATGTTTTAATTAAATAAGCGATTTTCGGGACTAGGGCTGGAAAAATTTTATTACAACTATAGCTGGCATTTCGACCCGGGACAGCAATGCGTAGCTTTCAGCCTCCCATTAACGTCTGTAAAACTACTAAAACATCGTAGTGCGGTGAAATATATTTGCCAATCATACTCAATTGACTCGGAACACTGCAGTTTCTGATTTAATTAAGGGTATTATTAAAAAGTACTCAAGCAGTGATCAATTAAACAGGGTAACGAATTGAAGGATAGATACAACTAGACTATAAGGACGCAAAATACGCGTAGGTACAACTAGTCGTAGGTACAACTAGACGTAGGTACAACTAGACGTAGGGACCACTAGTCGTAGGGACAACTGGTCGCATCCGTACAAGCTAGGTGATACTACTTGTCGGTGGGATACACGTCTTGTTGTACCTACGTCCACTTGTACCTACGTCTAGTTGTACCTCCTAAAAATCTGCAGGTACAACTAGTCGGGTGTGCCACCGTCTACTTGTACCTACGTCTAGTTGTACCCACGACTAGTTGTCCCTAGGCCTCGAGGTACAAGGAGACGTAGGTACAACTAGACGGCGGGACAACGAGACGCGGTCCCTTTGCTCCACAGAGATTAAATTAAAGTATAACACTTCATGAATACGATTTGGAAAAATACGATTATGGATGTAGTCTACATCCATAAATACAATTAGTCTCAGGTATTAGAATTAGAAAAACTTATAAGTTTTTCTAATTGTAATACCTGTAAATTAATTTTGAATTTGGTATCTTTGAGCAACACACAAAGAGTTGTTTAAAGGCTTGATAATATATTTTTCTGTTAACTGACCTGTAAATAATTGCAACTTAATAATTAGAGTCCTTTTAAGAACCTAAACCTAACATTTCCCGGTAAAAGAGGAATTAGGAAACCGGCTTTAGGCTCTTGTATAGTAGCCTGTTTCTACTGAAGTTTCAATATTTGAAGTTTGGCCTAAATCTAAATACCAAGTGGGTGAGTTGTACCAAGTAATATATGGTTCAATTTTGGAGGGATGGAGGCAGCTTCATAATTCGCAAGTTTAAACAAAAGTTTTACATTAACTGTATGGGCTGTCATTTATAGCCTGCTATTATATTGTCTGTTACTTTTTTAGCTTCAAATTGCCACAACAACCTTCCAAGCAATCAATTCTTAACTGTACCCCGTATAGGTCCACCCACGTTTAAGTAATCTGTTTAATCTTTTAATTTGTGATATCATGTACCATATTGCCGACAAACCAATGGTCCTACAAGATCTACATCCCTTAACGACAGATATTGCCTCATAGCGTCAACCTTGAGGCCCTTATCTCAAGCTTTTGATGTAGTTTAACTGTAAGTTGAGGAGTTGTGGGATCTCCCCCGCGTCGACAAATCAGTAGTTTTGTAAAAAGAGCGGGAGTTTCAAGTTTTAGGTGAACCAATTTTGTTGAACCAAATGCTTACAATATTTCATTTTAATACATGTTCCAACCCTTTATTTCAGAAGTAAAGTATCAACTCCCAAAAAAATGAAGTAGTCATTCAACCTACTTATGGTATGGACCTCCAAAAAAAAAACACACTTTTGACGGAAACACAAGTGTTCCCAAAACCTCAAATAGAGGATGTATTGTAATTACTTGGTATGTGTTTTTTAAAAATACAAATCCTGTTATTAGGTACTGGAATCACATATATGGAGACTTATATCAAACCTTTTATAGCATGAAACCAATTATTTACTTTTAACATAAGGTCTTTGAGCTTAGGAAACACCATGTTGAGTGTTATGTACAATAAGAACCCATAATATTTAATACTAGACTCAGATAACTACGCAACAATGCATATCACCTGATTGGCAATGAAGTAAAGGAAACAAGATATCAACATGTAAGCTTGTTTTTCGTTAAACAATGCCTCGCGCAGAACTTGTAATTTGGGTTGCGTTAAAAAAAACACCATGTATGATACATGTGTAAATGTGTTTTATTGGGTTGAACTTACTTGGTTAAGGTGGTTATATATATATATTTCCCCTTTCTCTCAGCTCAGTGCATTTCACAGTGGTAGTATCCGCCAAGTAAACTATCCAAGTAAATAAAATACTAATCTGTGAGTATAACATTATTAAATCTATCTATTAGTCGAGATTTTTTACATACGAAACTGTGATCAAGTTTTTAATAGTGAAGTGCTGTGAGATGTTAGGTTGTTTATTTATATTGACACATACTAATAGTTTTTGTTACAGTGTGGGCTGTAAACATAATCCAAAGGCATGTATTGAAAAATTATTTGTTACCCCTTATAATAGCATTCTCCAACTATTATTTCTTTAAGTAAAAAATAATGGCTTTAAATATAAATGCTATGAGTGTCCAATTGATAAGTACATAATTAAAATCTGGACTGCAGATTTACTTAATATTAAATACACGGCACATAGTTTGTATTTTTCATGTTCATAGTGACCTTCATAGGAGGTCATTTAGTGGCAAAGAGTGCCCTGCTTATCTCTGACCTGGAGTGACCTTTCTTATCTTTGAAGACATAACAAATGGGATTGAGTTGAGTAATGTTCAGTCTCTGTGGACTCCTTTACTAACAAACTCGTTTGGTGTGCCCTTGGTGATTCTACTATATCCAACATGAAAGCGAGAGTACGAGATAATTCAATTTCTGTAAGTTTGTTACATTCAAGGACTAATTAAGACGAACAATGATAGCTGACAAGCTGCAACCATAGATTAAGACATGCCCCCTGATAGATTAATTAATTGTTATCCTTGTGGATCAACTGAAGACAATTTTAATGTCAGTTCCGTCTGGTGCATGTAGGGCCGTGTTTTGTTCACAATTTGTGTTTTGTTGAAACTAGTTTAACAAAACAAAACGATATAGGTAAAACGATAGCTTGCCCTATCAAATTGTTAACAACAAATCATAAAATTAACCCTGAAATAAGAGAAACAAAATCTTGTCGACTCTAGTGTTCAACTTCACCAACATGAACCACATGTCTAGAGCAAGCTTAAGATTTTACAAGGGGATGAGAAGTCTACCTGTGTTGGTTAGTCTTTGATGTAACTTAGTAATACCACCGTATTTTAAGTGTTTTAAGCATTGGTTAAAATTGTGATTGATAATTCAATATTTTACATTGAAAATTGCAAACAGTCTTTTCTTAAAATCTAAATTTGTGACAGCCAATGGTAATTTGTTGAAGAGCCTGATGCCCATAACATGGCATGATCTTGTTTTTCCAACCGGACCTGAGGCAGATAATTTGTTTTGCAGTTCTAGTACTAATACTATGCAATTCATTTCTAATTTTGTATCTAAAGCTATTCTTAAAAGTAAACAATAATAATTAATATACAAGTTATAATGTTGGTCAAAATGTTTAAATCAATATAAAGGGGGTTGCAGTGTGCTTCTATATCCTCTTAACACATTATTCTGATTTTTTTTTCTGTGATATAAGTAGCCTACCTCGTGGATTTTCGCAGAGCTAACATAGTAAATTAATCTTTATGAAGCAATTGATTAAAATATAGAAAAATATACAGATTTACATAATTAAAAAAACATACTTCTCTGTTTTAATTAACTGTTAAAACAGTTGTTAAAACAGTAGATAACAGTGAAAACAGATCTCTGTTTAACTGTTAATTGTTTTAATTAACTTCTCTTGTTATTTCCAATGCAATTGTTATCTTTTCATTCTGCTCGTGCTTAAAATACATATATATATATTGTAATGAATGAATAAATAAATAAACATAATGCACTAGAAAACAATTCTTGAAAGCATATTTGTTAGCTGATCAATATTCTGTGTTCAGCTTAACTTTTTATCAATCAAAACACCCAAAAACTTAACGTAATCTTGTGAATAAAAAAGATCAGGTACTTTTTTTAAGCTTTATGAAAGATTTTGTTTTTTTCTTCGTAATTTGCTGCTAACCAGTCAAATACGTTACAAACCACAGTGGGCCATTGAACATCTAGAAGATACAGTGTCAGTGGAACCTTGATGAGAAGACACTCAATAACATGTGGCCCTTGATAACAAGTGTAATTTTCAAATACCCATGATTTTATATTGCCCTTAATTGCATGTTGTTGCAAACATCTATAAGGACAAGCCTTCATAACAAGTCATATTTTTCATCATACCTATGAGGGTCTTCTTATCAAGGTTCTACTGTACATCTTTAACATGCAAACTTAATAAATCTACATCAGAACAGAACCATGCACAAGAAAGTTCGAGTCATCGGCATTTACATTTTTATTTATATCACAGAGAACATTAATAGGCAATCCGATTCGATCTGCCCGTATATTTCATTTCACTCGATATGATGGTGTCAAACTGTTGATCTTTCTACCAATTTCCTCAGCTGAATACACTTTTTTCCAAATATTTCTCTTACACTATGTTGCGTAAGCTGTACTTGTGTTTGGATAATTGGATTTGTTTTATTTAACTAGTCTTCCAATCCACCTACATCAATGTCTATAAAATACCTGCTGTTGAATTTTTTGCTGCATGACATACTAGCCTATTTGTTTTTTTTAGTTATTTTACTCTTGTAAATAATATGTTGAAGGGAATTAACTTACAATCTTCAAATAAAATTTCCTTGAATATATTTTATTACAAGTACACAGCCAGCTATTAAATTGCTATAGAAGCTGATTAGTTGGTTGTTGATTTTTACTTTCTCCCCCTATACCATAGTATATAGAGAAAGTATTGTTTTCGTCAAAATTTTCGAGTTTGAGTTTTGAGTGGATATATCCGTTTTGGGTCCCCCTGGACCCAAAAAAGTGGTTTTCAAAGTGTTGTCTGTGTGTGTGTGTGTGTGTGTGTGTCTGGATGTGTACAGAGCTAGGGACTACACCTGTGGTCCGATTTCGATGAAATTTGGTATGTAGGTTCTAATCCATATGGTATCTCCAGGTGTTTTTTTTCATATTTTGATTTTAAATGGGGATTTTCCCATAAAAACCCCATAAAAAACCGGAAAAATCGGATTTTCTCAAAAATGGCCTGAACGATTTTGATAAAAATGTAGTATGTTGTAGCCCTTTAAATTCTGAACAAAATGGTACAAATCCCTTTTCTGTAAAAATTACGGTTCAAAAGTTATGGTAAATTATGTTATTTTCCCATAAAAACCCCATAAAATAACGAAAAATAGGATTTTAGAAAAAAATCCGGTTTTATTTTAACATAGTATGTTATGGTCCTTAAAATTTTGATAGTTTTTTCATTTTTTAAATTTTTTTATTTTTAATGGGAATTTTCCCATAAAACCCCATAAAATAACGGAAAAATAAGATTTTCCCAAAAACGGCCCGAACGATTTTGATAAAAAAATTTTATGTTATAGTCCTTTATATTCTGAACAAAATGGTACAAATCCCATTTCTGTAAAAATTATGGTTCAAAAGTTATTGTAAATTATGTTATTTTCCCATAAAACCCCATAAAATAACGGAAAAATCCGATTTTTACAAAAATGGCCCGAAAGATTTTGATAAAAATTTAGTATGTAGTCCTTTAACATGTGAACAAAATTGTATAAATCCCATTTCCGTATATTTACTCTCACCGCTTACACATGATAAAGGTTGTTGACAAACTTATGGGAGGAAGTATGTGTCAGAATGCTGATACCGTTTATTATATATTTGTGTGTGTGTCCTTGAACGCGATACCTCCAATTTGATTGGTTTGATTTTGATGTAATTTTTCATGGATGGCACCATAAGTTGAATGAGCTCGAGAACCTCTCATGGAAGCTATTATAAAGGGCGTTTATAAAAGAATCATCAGGTTTTAAAACATTTTATTGACGCTAATGTTAAACAAATAAGGTTATAAAACATATCAACATTAAGAGAGATCTATTAAATTTTTCATAGATACCCCTACAACTTGTCAATGTGCCGTCCATTAGCCGTGGAGTAAGTTTCCAATCTATGCTGTAAATTGTCCTATACCCTGGCTAGCATCGCTAGGTTGATTGATTCGACACGGCATTACGAATTCGTCCACGGAGCTCTTGAAGTGTTTGAGGCATTGGCGGTATATAAACTTTGTCTTTTACATAGCCCCATGGAAAAAAATCACACGCCGAAATATCAGGGGATCTAGGGGGGCATTTGAGAAGGGTAAAGTCATTTTAGTTACATTTGCCAATCTACCTAAGTTTTTAAGAGAACTCTTGTGCGGCCACTAATTTTACTTTTTAATACACTTCCAGAGTTCTTAAACTGGCGATACCACCTTAAAATGCTTTGTTGTGTAGGAGGAGTCTGTCTAAAGTGCCCCTGAAACTCACGCTGGGCAGTTATTAAAGATAAACTTGAGTCATAATGAAAAACTCATAGTTCCTCTTTTGCTAAACTAAACTTCAGTACAGTCGATCAGTCACACCACACTCACTCCACTCCACTCTCACTTTCACTTCACTCACTCACTCACAGCCACACAGCACAGTGTGGCGTGGGTGTTGGGTGTTGTTCCTTGTGAAATAAATAGTCGTTTTCTTTTTCTATTCTATAAAATCAAAATTAATTACTGATCTGTTCTGGATTAGTGTATTAAGTAGCTTAAGTAATTGTTTTAATTTAAATTAAGTTTCGACCTTGATCTTCACGTGGTTGTTCATTTCCAAGGTTCGTATATTTTTGAAGGTTACCGGTTGCTGATGTTGGTAAGGGAAGGGAAGGGTATCAAAATTTGGATAACTTGTAGTCTCGCTTCTCGACCTTCACAAGTCCTCTACCAATAAGCCTACTTCCAGGCAAAGTTGTCGATCATTATTTGTTTATAAGTAAACTAGCCCCTACTCTACAGAGGTACTGTCGAATAGAATTCTTGTGTATTATTTTTTATGTACCTTATCCTCTAATGTCTTATGCAAGAAGTTAAAGTGAAGGCAGATTTTTGTACTTAATTGTAGGCCTAGGCCTATATTGCAATTTTAGAATACAAGTTTTCTCGTACCTTAGTCATGGTATTTACTTAAGGTTGTCTTATTTAGTTTGCATCAAGATTTATTAGGCTACTAATGGGTATTAACTTAGTTTAGTTTAGGCTTAGGTTCTTAAACTTATTGGGCTCATTTTTAACACTTTTTCTCTAGTAAGTTAATTTTAGGGAAATGCCTGAAAACCTAAACAACTAACTTATTGGTTTGAACCAAATTAAACATAAGGTAGGCCTAAACCTAATTTAGGCCTATGTTTCATCATCAATAAACAACAAGATTTTGTAGGTCTAGATTAACTTATAAAGGTTCACACCCTTGACCTTACAACTTATGCTGTCCTAGCCTAACCGAACCATTTTTGTTAGCACCTGTGTTGACAAAAGCATTTTGTAAGAATGTTTTGTTTACTTAGGCTAGGCCTACTTACACTGAAAGTATTCCAGTTACCTAGGTTTAATTTTTTTTATCCTCTTGAGGAACTAAGCTTGGCCTATGTCTGGAGCGACCGAGCGAGTGATACTATAGGCCTAACTTAGCTTAGCCTTTTAAGTAATACTTTTGGTAATTATATCGATCACGGACATCTCGCTAAAATTTTTTCACTATTATGCTAAATAACGGGTCCTTAATTCACAAATGATTGTCATTTTCCCCGGAAAAGCGCAAAATCGGAAAAACTACATTTTTGCAGAACTGGGTCATGAGGGTAAGACTCAAATTAACCGGTAGAGCGAGCTGAACAAGAATATGGAGGAATTTTAAAGATCCGATGGATATTAACAGAGGTACGGGCGAAAAGTGCCGTTTCCCGGAAAAACAACATTTTTGCGGAAACGGGTCATAAGGGTACTCAAATTTACCAGGATAGTGAACTGTAAAAGAATAGGCCTAACTTACACAAGAATTTTAAAGATCCGATGGATATTAACAGAAAAACTAAATTTCTGCGGAAACGGTCATAAGAGTACTCAAATTAACCGGTGAGTGAGCTGAAAAAGAATATGCAATAATTTTTGTGATCCGATTGATATTAACGGAGGTACGGCCGGAAAAGCTTTAG